TACTACTAGATCGGACTCATAGTGATCCGCCTGTTTACAGCCTCCCAAGAGCTGGGATTACAGGGGCACACCACCACACTCAGTCTCATTTGCCTTCTCAGCGCACTCCAGCTGTGGGGCCGGCATGGCAGGCCCAGGGATTGAATCCCGGGTCCCTGTGCCTGCTTGCAGGCACTTTAATCCACTGAGTTATTTGCCAACCGTAATCAATTTCTTAGGGCACTTAAAGATAATCCATTGTGTGCGGTTTTCTTTTGGGGGGGGAGTTGTACCAGAGATCAAACTCAGGACCTTTCCCTTGCCAGGCATGTGCTTATGCTGCTGAGCTATTTCCCCAGCCCTCATTGTGTGAGATTAACTGAGACTATACTTAAGGATGGTGTGCCAGACATTTTTCTTCTTTTCATTCCGAAAGGATTTTGTTTTTATTCTTGGATAATTTGCTGTTATTTACAGATAAATGCAGAGGAATTATGGGGATAACAGAAGTGGTAACTTGTGCTACAGTGTTTTTATTTGGAAGAATTGAATAAAGGACACCAAGGACATCTGACTCTGTGTCTTCTGAGTACAAAAACAAGGTAGATTCAATTTCTTTATTAACAATCACCTTACTGTGAAAGCTGATTCCTCTTTGATTTCTACAAAGTTTAAAATATTCTCAAAAAACCCAGTGTAAATAGCAATTTTTTTATTATAGCACTGTTTCCATACCATATAATTATCATAGCTTTGTCAAATACAATGAAATGAGTTTAATCATCATTGTTAAGATTCATAGCAATGGGTATTAACAAATACCACAAAAACTTTCAAGATGCATACATTAAAAACTGCTAGGAAATAGACATTTAAAACATCAATTTCAGTTTTTATACGACATCTAAACTTTAAAGGTCAAGTACTATAGCTAATACTTTTAAAGGTAATTGTAAAAGACAGACCAGTACAATCGTAGTAGCCAGACAGATATGATTAATCTAAATAACAATTTTCTATCAGTTACAGTGGCAAAAATTATTTCATTGAAAAGCAAGTGGAGGGCCAGCAAGACAGCTCAGTGGACTAAGAGCCTGCTTAGGCAAGTGGAGAGACCAGGGTTCATTCCCTGGCACCACGTGCTGCGCTGGCCCCACCCCCAGGCTGCTAAGCAGGAAATTGAAACTGGGCGTGATGGCGCACTCCTGTAATCCCAGTGCTGGGGAAGCTGATCACTACGAGTTGTGTAGTGAGACCCTGTAACAAATACATTAAAAAAAATCAGGTGGAATGTGTTGATCACTAAGATGGCCCATAGTGAACTCCACATTCTGGTATTCACTGGTTATGACTAAGATGGCTGGCTGTCTCTAGGTGGCAGTTCAGAGAAAACAGTCATTAGCAGACAGAGACAATTCCTTATCTCAGTCACAGATTATTTTCCATGGACTGAATTCCTCACAGCCCCACTACCTTGGCCTTTAACTGTGCTCCTGGACTGAGGTGGCCATTGCCCCTGAGCTGGTGCGGCTGTGATTGACTTCAAAGCAGAATATGGCTAACACGATGGGCTATCATTTCCATGAGTAGACTGCAAAAATGTGTCTTGCTTTTGCTAGTGACCTCTGTCTCTTGCTAGCTTTGCTGAAAGAACATGCCTGACAAGACAGGCCCACGTGGCAGAAAACTGAAAGGAGCCTCTGGCCGATAGCCCAGGAAAAGCTGAATCCAGAAAACAGTTGCATGCTGTGTAAGGGCAGAACTGCATCCTATTCCCAGAGATGATTGAGGCCCTTGTCATTTCCTCATTGTAGCCTCCAAGGGACCCTAGAGCAGGGAACCCATATGTCCTGTGCCTGGATCCTTGACCTGCAGGCACTATAAAATCACAAATGTGGGTCTTTTTAAACTACCAAGTGTTAAAGTAATTTGCTCCATAGCAATACATGGCTAAGGGAGAAGGATCATTTTGTTTTTATTCTAGTGCCGAATCTTGGCCTAATATTAGTTAGTACTGCCTAATGGAATCAACATATAGATTGTTATAACGGGAATCATTTTCAGTTAACACCACATTCTTCAGACTTTGCCAAAATAAGCCTTCTGCCTTGGGGTTGTCAGGCCACTGGAGGATGGAGCTTTTACAGATCCGCCGCCGCAGCCTCAAGTACTGGGAATGCTGCAACACAGGCTCCAGGAGAATGAATAGAATCACATCCATGTTCTCATCCATTAGCCTCTGCAAGGCCAAGTAGAAAGCCGTTTTAAAGTTCCAGCTTTTTGCATATTTTTTGGTTAAAACAAATATTGTTTTCTTGCTCTGGTTTATGCTCTGCATGAGGTTGTCAATGATGGCTAAGCCCGGATCCCAATCCCTCTCCTCTAAACAGAGGAGGACATTTTTGTCTTCACTCTCTTCTAGGTGGTAGCGGAGTTCATTTATTACCCAGTCAGTAACAGAGGCATCTCTGGTATCATAAGAAATGTAAGCATCATAGAAAGTTTGGGATGTAGAAAGAGACCTATAGCCTTTTACCTTAGCTGAACACATTTGATACATAAACCAAACATCCCAATAAAACAAATGGTGGGCCAAGGCAACCAACATAACCGAGGTGGTGATAAAGAATGTGCAGAAAAAGAGGGCCGCCGCAATGCTATCTGAAATGCAAGTTGTCAGCTCAAGAGTCACAATGCTTTTCCCGCTTTGGTCCCCCGGGCTGGCACAAATGACGTCTGCCAATCTAGGAATTGTAACATTCAGATTCTCATCTAACCATCTTCGAAAATCTCCAATGTCACATGTGCAGTCAAAAGGATTTCCATCCAGTTTCAAAGAAGATAAACTGGTGGTGGTCCTGGTCTGTAGAGTGGATTTGTTGATCATTTTTATCAGGTTGGAGCTTAAATCAAGGTGCATCAAACTGCTGGCTTCCGAGAGGAAACCGGAAGGCAGGTGGGAAATCCGGTTCTGGCTCAACAGCAGAGTCTGCAGAGAAGATGTCCACCTAGACAGGCTACTAGCTAAAGAGGACAGCTGATTTCCACTTAGATCAAGCACACTGAGCTGAGGAAGGTGCTGGAGCAATGTCCAATTGAAGAAATTTAATAAATTGTTTTTTAAATAGAGATGGGTGAGACTCTGAGGCAAGTTCAGAAATGCTTCATTTGGGATCCGCTGAAGGCTATTGTCAGATAAGTCAAGCCGTCTCAGATTGCTGAGGGATTTAAAAATGGGCCAGTACCGGTTATCTCCAGGCTTCCACAAAAGGTCGAGGCGGTTTCCACTGAAGTTTAACTCTTCCAGGGACATGCTTTTCAGCTCATTTTCCTCTGTTAAAGTATAAATGCTGTTGTAGCTCAAATTTAAAACCTTGAGGTAAGTTAAATTTTCGAGAAATCCCAGACGATGTGTCACCCCTGCTATTCTGAAATAGTGCGAATTACGGCTGAGATCTAGAACTTCTAAGTTGCTCAATTCACTGAGGGCATTATCATCATCAAAGTCTAGCCTGTTGTTGGTCAAATCCAAATACTTGACCTGACGCACAGTTGAAAATTCGCTTCCATTAAACACTTGACCATTGCCGTTGGAAGACAGATTTAAGCAGACAATGTCTTGAAAATCTTCAAATTGTTTTCTGCCAATAAAGAAAATACTGTTCAAACTTAAATCTAAGGCTTTTCCATACTTGGTGCATTGGGGCTTCATTAAAGGATGGGTTGGATGATAAAAATTTGAATGTGGGTCAAACTCTGAATCCTTTGAGCGTGGCTTACGGTCGTGATTTTGCAAAAGGGATCTATTTGCAGAATTTTGCCTGGTATCATCTACCAAGGGTGATATTCTGTTTTCTGACAAGTAGATAACTTTCAGGCTGGAGAAATTTTTGAAAACGTTAAAATCAATTTGCTTGATAAAGTTAACGCCAAGGTTGATTGTCTTTAAGTGTGAAAGACCCATCAGAGGCTGGAAATCCTCTCTTCTGAGTTCCTGGAACACATAACCTCTTAGATGCAATGCCTCTAGGTATGTAAGCTTAGAGAAGTTGGGGGAAAGTTTAATATATTTTACATATTGCGTCTTCACATAGTTAAAAGATAAATCCAGTATTTTCAAATTAGGCAGTTTGGTTAAAAATGCACCGGAAGCTATTTCTTGCACTAAATAGTTGAATTCAAGATGCAGTTCCTTCAGATAGGGCATATTTTCAAACCAGGTAGAATTAACAGTTTGGAGGGAAGTGCTAGAGAGGTTTAGGTGGTGAAGGTTGGTCAGATTTTGAAAAGCCAGAGGATGGATTTTCAGTGAGGCATCCCCCTCACAAGGTGTGCAAGGAAACGGTGCATTGAAACACCTCGGACAGTTGCCACTTAAATCTAGTGATGTTAAGTTCTTCAATCCCTTGAAGTCTTCTGGACCAATGGTTTTAATTTTGGCATTACTCAGATAAAGTCTTACTAGGGAGCTTGGTAGCTTGGGTGGTACATGGATAAGAGTATTGAAAGATAGTGACAGCTCCTTTAAGTTTGTAAGCTTTTCAAATGTCCCATCTTCCACTTCAAATGTTTTATTACATGCAAAATAGCAGTTCCAGCTCAAATAGAATTTTTCCAAATTTCTAAGTTCTGAAGTGTTATTTTTAGTTACCAAAATTATATTGTTTTGAATTAGACTAAGTTCTCTTAAAGACTCTGGCAAACCAGTAGGTATTTTGTATAGCTGGTTGTCTTCAAGCAGCAACTGCTTTAGGTTTTTTAGGTTGAGAAATGCACCATCTGTTATGTTCATGCCATTTTTGATTGCACCAGGATTTTCGTCCTGGTGCTGCTGATTGGCATTGTGGTTCAGATTTAGTCTAATGAGCTTCTGCAGCCCTTGAAATGATTCATTGGTTATCTGTGTGATGAAATTATCAGACAAGTCTAGTTCTGTCACGTTTCTCCCCACGGTTTTGGGAACTTCTTGCAGTCGACGATTGTTGCATTCTGCAATGACGGAGGCATTCTGCTTACTCTCATCACAAGGAAAGCTTCTTGAATATCCAGCAAAGAACTCACAGGAAGCAGAGGCAAGAAGGAAGATGCAGGTCAGAACTGAGGACAGACGGGGCATTTTTCTAAGGAAAATAACAAATAGAAGCAAGATATTAGAGTAGCAATATTTGCCAGGCTTTTCATGATGATGAGTTGAACAGTGCTTCAACCATTCACCTATGAGTTTTGAAGTCTGAATTCTCTTAACAGTTAAATACATGCATCAAATTATGTTTCGAACCATTTTATCCTTTTACTGTGTTCAGCTTCAAGTGCCAAAAGAAGACAAAGTTAACTAAGGTTATGATGATATGACCGGGATGGTTTTTGCAGAGACATTAATCAAGATGCACCCCTCAGCATAGAGCCAGGCTGGACCACCGTTCTGAGTCAGGCAGTAAGCACAGCATGCTTTATGTTTATAACAACAACCTATTGGCACAAGGCTTGATAAAACTTTGGGAAACTCCAAAAGAGAGATCAGATACTGCTTCTATTAAATGATCATCCGAGACATTCAATCTGGAATTCTTGCCATTTTATCCATACAGTACTCCTCTTGTTGGTGTTTCCTACATTTTTTCAATACTTATGGTGTGTGAAATTCTCTCATCTCCTTCCATGACTAGAAAGTGGACAGCTGAGAATCAGGTACTGTGCTAAGTGCTTCGGAAGCATTTCTTCACCCCCTAAAGTTCACAGAAGGTAGGCCTTATTAAAATCCATATTTTACAGATAAAGAGACAAACTCTAGCAACTGATAGCAAACCTTAACCGGACAGGATGTTCATCTCAGGAGTGAGGTAGCTTGTTAGCTTTAGGCACTGGACCAAGTCCCACCTACATATATTTGATCGATTTCCTAGCTTCGTGGCTCCTAACATGTCTCCCTCTTTTGTTTTGTTTTCTCACAGATGGGTGTTCTCTGCAGTGTCATGTATTACTAAGATCACAAAAGTATAAATAGAGGACACTTTTGTTGTGAGAACAAAAAGAGGGAAGAAAAAAATATGTATGTATACACAAGAGAGTTAGGATAACTGTACAGCTATTTTCTCTTAGTTCACTAAGAATAAGTTGGTACTAATACTGTTTAGACAAGATATGTCTGGATCTTGTCTGAATAACTGCTAAGACAACAATATACAATGCATTAATTGTTGTAAATATCCTACTAACCTGTTTTGAAATTGTTTCATTGCCATTTTATCTTTTTTCCTCATTAAAATGAATAAAAATTTAAAAAGTGAAAAAATTAGGGATCCTTGAAAGCAATCAGTAATATTTCATTATATCCCCAATCTTGCATAACTATATCTGTTAATCTGCACAACAGATTTGATGATAAAATAGATAATAGAACAGCCATTGTTAGTTAGCTATCTTAATCTGTAACATGTATTGTTGTATGTTACCCTGTTTCTGTCTTTATTTCTACTATTTGTTTTTGCTTTTGTTTTTACTCTTCAAAATAAAATAAAATAAAATTTGATAGATAAAAAAGAGACAAACTCTAATACTTAAATGACTTTCAGAATCACAGTATCATGCTGAGCTGAGATGTGAACCAAGCTGATTCCATTTTCTTTCTGTACTAAGGATTCACCCCACATGATAGGCAAATGCTGTGCCACTGAGCTATGCATCTCCAATCCTCGGTGTATGTTCTCAACCACTGACCATCATGTTATGTGACTTCCTTTTGAAATCCTCAGGCCAGTGCAGTACTACAAATGTAGAATGCGCTCAGTAAATTGTGGGATAGCTACCCCCTCATATGACTCTTATACAGACACGGACAGCAATAGCCATTTATTAGTTTTGAAGTCTTTGTTAGGAAAGATGTGCTGCATTGTATTTTTATGCATGCACTGTAACACTTGATAGAGTGCTCACTTTCTATACACTTTTTAATATAAGGGGGACTGAATGCATTACTTTTGTCAATCATACAATATGATAAAGTGATTTATGTGATTGGTTTGATCAAGGATTGTGGTTAAGAGGATTTTAAAAATCTTCCACTATCCATGGAGACCAACTAGATTAAATTAGATGTTTCTTCAAAGTCCAGCTCATGTCTTCATTTGAGCTAAAGCACAAAAGTACTCTTTTTAGATTCTCTTACAATTTGGGGCTGGTGAAATAGCATCTTTACGTGTTACACCTGCAAGTGATACAACAGTTTTTTTTTATGTGGATGTCAATTGTTCTGCAGATCAATAATTACTGCCCACTTCTAATGGTCAGGGAAAATTCAGCCCCTTATGAGATGAAAATTAGATTTGAATAGAACTCTCAGATATTTCCAGTTCTTTATGGTTACTTTCAAACACAGCAGTATTGAGGCACTGCTGGTTGATGTTTAACTTGTGCTAAAAGAAGGCACCACTTTGCCTGTGGTGGTAGGTGGAATTTGAAGACAAGCCCCATGGATTTTGTCCCGGTATATCCTCTAGGTTTATGTTACACTAAATGGCAAATGAGAGGTTTTCTGGAAAGGCTTAATAATTGGAGCTTTTATAAGCAGGGAATTTTCTCTGGCTAACTCCAGAGAGAAAATTTGAAAGACTGGAAGCCCAGCAAGAGTTGGATACACCATGTTGAATTAAGATGAAGGGGTCTCATTGCAAGGAATATTAGAAGGCTTTAGAAGTCAAGACTGGTTCTTTGGGGCAGCTACCAGGAAACAGGGGCTGCAGCCGTATGATAGGCATAGGGAACTAAAATCGATGCACAGAGTGAAACTGGAAATGGAGTTTTATCCAGAACTTCCAGATGAAAACTCAGTTTGGCCAATACCTTGAGTTCAGCATTAGGAGACTTAGAGCAGAGAGCCCAGGAAAGCCTGCCCAGATTCTGAACAATGGCAACTTAAGCTACTAAATAGGTGATACTGGAAACCACTCTATTTGGGAACTGCTTGCTATGCACAAGTAACAATGAATGTTCTTCTAGAAAATAAGTTTCTACCATGATGTATGGTTTGAAAATATGCAGCTTTGCAGGGGCAGCTTGCCAGGAGTTTCAAGGCTCAAACACCTGTGTGGAGAGACAGAGGCGCAACAAAGGGACCGGGAATCTTGGGAATGCAAGAACTTTGGGGGAGAACTTGGGAGATAGATTTGTTTGGTGATATGAGCAGAACTAAATCTGTATAAATTCCAACCTGAGTATTATTAGATTTGAAGGCTACGTCTAGACTCTTCCTTGTCTTTTTTTTTTTTTTTTGTCAGAACCAGGGATTGAACTCAGGCCCTTTGCACTGGCCAGGAAAATGCTTATTCTACTGAGCCATCTCCCTGGCCCCTCTTCCTTGTTTTTGTTAGTTAGGTGTGTTTGGGGGAGATTTCAATGGATAGAAGGAATATAAAATTGCTAAGAGAGTGCTCTGGCACAACCAGGTAACTACTAAAACTGTTACAGATGCTACTAGTATCTGTCACCACATACAGTAGACAATGCCCAGTCCTTATGAGTGCAGAAACGGAAGCGATTAAAAGAAATTGAGGGATTTAAGACAAGGCCAATGGATTTAAAAACTTATTTGAAAAGGTCCAACGTTGATCTGATGGGGAAATTTTATTCAGTCCTTGTCCAATTTGGTTTGCAACAAGAAACGTGGAAAGAACTAAGTTTGGGAACTGAGGTATCATTGTATGTGGCATATGACAGGATGCTTCCAGATATGCATATGTGGTGGAATAGCTGAGTCGGGCTGACCTACTTCTCTCATGTATTCTTTGTTCATGTGGTGAGAACACTGGAAATGTATTCTCTTTCCTTCCTTCTCTCCCTCCCTCCTTCCTTTTCTCCTTTCCTTCTTTCCTTCTTTCTTTGGTATTGGGAATTGAACTCAGGCATTATTATTAACAATAGTCACCATGTTGTGCAATAGGTATCTGTAACTTATTCCTTTCATATGACTGAAATTTTGTAAACTTTCAGCAACAGAGATAGGGCATGGTGGCCCATGCCTGTAATCCTAGCACTGGGGAGGCTGAAGAAGGAGAATCCTTGCAAGTTCGGGATCAGCCTGGGCAACAGAGTGAGCTCAAGCCCAGCCTGAAATGTTTAGTGAGACCCTGTCTAAAAACAGAATTCCTCCCCCAAAATGACCAAACTTTGACCAACAGATTCCCAATGTGCCACCCCAATACTGAATTTTGATCTTCATCTAAGGAGCATTGCAAAACCTTGGGGGTTTAAAGCATGCTTTAATTTACCTTTTACATTAAGGATGGTAATGTTTAAAGCATTACCATCCTTAGATGGAATTTCCAGTCATCATTGCAAGAGGGCACAGGCTTTCAGATGTGAGGTGATCATAGCTTGAACCAGGTTGGCGGTGAGGTACGCAGGGAGAAACGGATTCCAGAGATGCTCAGGAAGTAAATTTGAGTGATATAGCAAAGGATGTGGAAAGGCAGAGGGTGTGAGGAGGGAGAAGAATGTTTTCAGAATGACTTCTAGCGTCCTGGGCTATCACCTGGGTGGATGAGGGTGACATCCGGTGAGAAAAGAGTGTTCATAAGAGGAGAGGAAAGCAGATATTATTAATAAAATTTAGCATGTTGATTTTGAAATAAGTTTGCAATATTCACATGGAAAGAAATGTCCAGTAGACAATTGAATATACGGATCTGAAACCCAGGGGAGAGTTCTGCTGAAGGAATGAATTTGAGGGTCATGGCAAATAAAGCTATGGGCATGAATGAGATCATTTTGAGTGGTGTAAGGTGTAAAGAATCAATCTTCCATAGTACTGTTCTAGAAACAAGAATTTTCTTATATTTTTTCTAGTAATTTTATAATTATATTTTCTCACAAGGAAATATCTTATCCTACTGGGATTGTTTTGACATAAAATTTGAGATATATATCCACATTAATTTTTCTCTAAATGGAGACTCAGTCAGTCCAACATCATGTATTGGATAATCTTTCGCTCACTGTACTAAGCACTAACCTTCCTGCGTGTTTGCTTCCAGACTTTCTGGTGTCTTTCATCAGTCCATTTTCATTGAACACATATTAAATATGTAGAAACTTTTATGCAATAATGAGAAGACAAAGAACTCAA